ACAAGGGTTGCGCCAGCCGCCGCAGAGCAAAGGGAACCGGGAAGGAATCCGTCTGCTCCTGCCCCACACCAAGAGTTCCTGGGTTGGGGGGGGGGTTATGTGGGGCTGGCGCCGCCTTCCGCACTCACTGATCACGCTCTGCACTTTGGCAACGATACTGCTGGGGGGAGTGGGCGTCATCTTCTCCGAGAAGTCACACGAATACAGAACGTTGTCCACCGTCGTCCCATGCTCACTGTAGTTCAACAGCTCGTAATGCTTCGTGTTCTGGAGACAAGGGGGGAGAGGAGGGACAGCAGGTCAGATTGGGGTACCCGTGGAGCCCTTCGGAGCACAGGAACACAACCCCGCTTCTCCCTACCGCTGCCTCCAGCTTCGGAGAGCAGCGACGTGGGCCTCGGGCACGGCTCGTGCTCACAAAACAGGCCGCTTCCCGGCCCGAGCCACCGGGCCAAATCAGCTTTGAGAAGTGGATTTTACCCACTGCCCTTGGACTGAGGGATCTTTTGGAAACAGGGATTCAAGCTGACTCTCAGGAAGCAGGCAGAGCATCTTACCAGGCACAGGGAATGCCAGGCGAGCTGCGCCCAGCAGGAAGGAGCGTGCTCTGGAAAAGCAGGCACGAGGCAGCGAGAGGGACGGCGGCAGCAGCCGTCAGGCAGAGGCAGCCTGGGATCTGCAGGCCTTCTGCAGAGGCTGAAGTGCCAGGAGACGTTACCGTGACACGCAGCGTGACGCAAGCGGCATCACGCTCAGCCGAGCTTCGGCGGAGGACGTTGACAGAGCGGAGATCTCGGGTTAGCTCCCAGGAATCAGCCAGGGGCTGGAGATCTTGTCCCCCGGGGACTACAAAGCTTTAATCAAGTTCCCAAATCTCCCAGCGCACAGGGGAGTAAATTTTCAAGTAACCTGCTAGAGTGCAGAGTCCTAGGCCAAGCACGAGCCACCAACGGGAGCAGCAACAGCAGACAGAGCTTCGGAGCGGGAATTCACCCTCCGGAGCGACGAGAGCCACAGGCCTGCTGGGGCACGGAGAAGCGCAGTGCCTACAGCCCGGTTTAGGATTGACCACTGCGAGGAGATGTTTCAACACAGATTCACGGTCTGGATCCCATTACCGAGCACGTTCCGTGGCTTGTAGCGCAGCAGAGGAACGGCCAAAGCCGGCTGTGGGTTAATCCCGGATCCTGCTCCGTAGCTGCTTGACAAATGGTGATGGAAGAGACTCTATCTTGCTGCAGAGCCTGTTTCCACGTGAAGAAACCCCTCCAGCAGCGCTTTTACTGGCAGACCCGCCAGCGTATTTACTTCCAGAACAACCTAATCTCCGGACTGCAGGTAAGGGGCGACTGCAGACTCCCGCTTACGCCGAGAGCTTAGCCCAAATTTTGGTTAAATGGTTTATACAGAGTACTGCAGATGGGCACAAACACCGCACCATCACACCTGCAAGCCAGCGACTCGTAGCGCTTCCTGCCGAGGTTCGACGTCGACACGTCGAGTTTAGGCTCCCCTAACAGCGCAGCTGGCTCCAGAAGCATCAAACCCTTCCTCAGGAGTTTCCCTCTCCCCAGACCCAGCGACGGTGCTCACTCGGGTCTTTGTGCACCGGCAGTTAGCTGGGCGGAACCATGCCGGCAGAGCCCTCGCGCTTCAGAAAACGGCTTGACGAAAAGCGCTGCCGCGGCCTTCACCGGAGGGAGACCACCGCGGCCCCCCGCATAAAGACAGCCTGCTGCCTGCACCTCCCGCGGCCACGCGTGCCAAATCGTACAGATGAAACCCTCGGGCGCTCACCTCGTCGTAGAATATGCAGGCGTGTTTGCCAGACACGTAGTTACAGTGACCGTAGCTTGTAAGGCACACATCCATATCGGCTCCTGCACAGGGGAGGACAAAACCAGCTCAGTTCACTTCAGAAAAAACACCATCAGGCAGCAGAGAACAACAGGCAGAATTAAACTTCAATTAGCAAAACAACAGGGGAGCAACTGCTTTTGTCCACGCTCCCAGGAAGTTTCAGTGGGGGAAGGGAACTGGCTCCCTGAAGCATTTCACAGTTACCGGGTCTATCCAGAGCACCTGGATAGACCCCCGGAAGAATCTAAGAAGGGAGAGATTAAACCCACAAGCAATCCTTAATTCCTCTCTCCGCCAGACAGTAACCTCCAGGAGAGCCCTTCTGCCCATTCCGACGCCAGCCGGGTTACGAAGGTGCAACCCCACGAGGATTCAAGCTGACAGGGAATTTCCACTTCTCTTGGTAGGGAAGAATCCCAGTACAGGCAGCCAGAATCCATCTGTTTTCTTCAACACCCACTTGGCAAATACTTTGGGAGGGTCAGGAAGAACCACCCTGATTCTAAAAGGTCAGGGCAGGGAAAAAGCTACTCACCTGTCCCAATGTAGAGGGTTCGATAGCACATATTGACTGCACCCCCCAAGCCCATCAGAGGGTAGAACACTGCCCGGGCTTGCACCTCCTTTCGCTGCGCTGCAAGACAGAAAGGAATTACCTCAACCCCCAGAAGCCGTGCAAGCGGGAGAACGTGCACGCCGAGCCCGCACCGTGGAGCCACGCCGAGGAAAACACAAGCCTCCTACCACTAGCTGCTTTCTTAATCTCTTCCACTTTGGGTAATCAAAGAGCCGAGTCTTGCTGTCAAAGTGCCACTTAAAAAAAATCGGGGCTGGGGAATGTCACCACGTTAAGCCACGATTTCACCTCTGGTGAAGCCGCAGGACAAACACACAAGCTCCCAGGGTTTATCCAGGGACCGACCCAGCTCCCAGGCCAGGAGGATTTACGAGTGGACTCCATTACCCTCGGGCTGGTCCCTATGGCACACAACGTCGGCTGCTCCAAGGCCGAGCCTCCAGAGCAGCTCCCCGGCAGCCAATTCCGGATCACACCTCCTCAGAGAACTGGACAGAAGATCATCCCCTGTGGATACCCAATTCAGACCACACAGGCCTAGGCAGGATTCCAGCGGCTGTCTTTTGGGGATAAGCCCCTTCTAAGCAGAGTTTAGGCCCCTCCTGATACTCCACCTGCGTGACAGTTTCACACCGAGCGTGAAATCAAAGAACAGAAAGCCAGAACTACGAGGCTGACTGCAGAGTCGCCTGCGCCAAGACCGCTGGCCACCCCGAGCGGCACGGCCGGACGCGCAGCCGGAACGCACACTCTCCCACCTCTGCCCAGCACCAGCCCTGTCAGCCCCGTGCCTTCGGGGCTCGCTAAAGGCTTTCGATCTAATATTTCATCAGCAACACTGAACAGTCAGTGGGATGCAGCATTCC